TCAGGAAATAGCTCGCGAAGAACTGGCAAAGTGGAGGACGCAGAGCGGGGAAGGGAGGAACGCGCGGCGTGTTCCGCACAGTGAGTACCCAGCAGGGCGTCTGGACCAAAATCAACACTCTGTCTGGTAACACGGAGTTCCTCTTATGTTTCTGTGGCTGTCTCCCTGCCGCAGTCAGCTCCTTGGGGGCACGAGCAGGGCACTGTGCCCTGCCCTCGCCTTTCAAAGCAGAGCCTGGGCAAATGCAGGCGATCAATACACTTGGTTGAAAATGTGATGAAGCAGAGGAAAAGAGTTAGAAGGTGAAAAAATCATAACTTGTTGTTTTCCTTCCAAATCCAGCCACGGATTTCTTGGGGAGGGTGGCTTTGACGGTGACGTTATTTCAGCGGGGGGATAGCACCATCTAGGAGGTTGGTATGTCAAAACCTCCAGAGCCGAAGTGGCCTGCCCAGCACCTCGGGCAGGATGGCCGAGGAAGGCCAGACGACAACCCGCCCTGGCCCGGGCACGGCTTCAGCAAACTTAACTGACCCTGCTTGACTGACGCCCCCACGGCTGCAGAAGGCTGGCAACAGGCACGTCCTTATCTCTCTGGAGACCACGCAGGCCAGCGGCTGCAGGGCTGGCCAAGGGAAAACGGATTCAGAGCCACGAATGAGGCTGTTCTGAGACGCCAGCGTTTCTCCCGTGGCTTCCCTGACTGTAAACAGAAAGCAACACGTCTCCAGGGAGATGGTGTGCTGAAGCTCACCTGCCCGACCACCTTGGAGCGCTGGGGCATGTGCTACTCCGGCAAATGTTCCCATCTACAGCAGGGACAAGACCCCTCCCTGTGTCTTATTTCTAAGCGCAACCTCCCTTGTATCAAACGAGCAGGGGGCCCTGGCCGGTGTGGCTCCGTTGGTCGGGCATCGTCCGGTATACGGCAGGGTTGCCGGCTCGATTCCCGGTCAGGCCACATGCCCAGGTTGTGGGCTCATCCCCGGTAGGGGGTGTGCAGGAGGCGGCCAGTCAATGTTCCTCTCACATCTGTTTTACTCTCTCCTTCTCCCTTCCTCTCTCTCTAGAAATCTATAAAAATATTTAAGAAAAAGGTAAATGGCAGCAGTGGGAAGAAATACACTCTTCAGTGTAGATGGAGAGGGGGGAAGTCTCCCCACTGATCTCCAGCCGCCCTTCATTCTTCTCTGTAACGAGCCCTCTAGTTATTCCTGGGGCCACCCTGGCTGACAGAAACCCGGACCTCGGAGTGCCTTCATCTTTACCAACCCTGAGAATGTGCCTCCCACGGGCGCCAGAGGGTGCCCAGCACACAAAACCTTCTCCGCCAGAGGGGGCGCTGTTCTGGGTCAAGGCCTCCTCTCCTTGGGAGCATGTTCCTGCCCATGATCTAAGACTCTGCTTCAGAAATGAACCCTAGAAGCCCAACGACATTAAATCGTATCTGTGTGTCTCCATGACATGCAGCAGGTTGACGTGAACGAAAATATTCAGCCAATTGGCTTCTTTTCAACTATGCATCTGCATCTGCATTTTTTGAGAGTGCCCCCCCCCACCCATTTATGTGTGGCTGCCTTGTTGCTAAAACACAGCCATGGTCTTAGTAAAATAAAAAACAACACGAGTTCTGGTGGCAGCTCACCTTCCCCAGTCCAGCTAACCCTGCAGGTGTTCTGCTTGCCCCCGGGGAGGACAACCATGTAAAGCCAGCCAGGCGGCCGGCAAATGAACGGAACCCCTGTGAGGAACCCAGCGGCAGAGTCGATCTCATTTGCTAATTGATATTTTTGTTCTGGTTAAGATTTGGGAAAATCAATATTTTTAAAAATATGCCTATCTGGATACCTCTACTTGGATGCCTAATAGTATTTCGAACAAGGACGTGTCCAAAGCGAAGATCCTGATAGTATCACCCCTAAACGTTCCCTCCCACAGCCTCCCCCAACTCGGGAAACCACCATTCCCTGCACGGCCCCGGCAAGGAACTTGGGAGTCATCCTTGTCTTCTCTCTTTTCATCACACCCCACTTCCGATCCACCCTACTTTGAAGGCACCTCCAGACACTGACCCTTCCTTCCACCTTCACTGTGACCATCCAGGTCCGTACCCCGTCTCGCCGGGTGACAGCAACGGCTTTCTCGCAGTCTCCTCCCAGCCGCTCCCCCACTCTGCCCACCCCCTCACCGCCTACTCTCAGCTCATCAGAGGGAGCCTTTCAGAACGCCAAGTCCACCCTGCTTGTGCTCAAACTCCTCCGGTGGCTCCGTCACTCCAGGGGAAAATCCCAAGTCCTGCGACCCACGAGCTCCTGAAAGTCCTCGGACTCATGTCCTCCTCCACCCACCATCCCCTCCACTTGGCCACACCGGCCTCCTCGTTTTGTCCCTCAAACACCGGTATCTCCCCACTGTTCTCTCGACTGGGAAAGCTCTCCCCTAGATCCAGTGGCTCATCTTCCTGCAAGCTTAGCTCAAACCTTACCTTCTTCATGAAGCCTCCTGATTCCCTAATCAAAATGCAAGTACCTCTGACACGTCTTACCCTTGTTCCCTGACTTACTGTTTTTCTCCTTGGCACCTACCACTAACACACTCCCTGCTGTCCTTTCTTCTCTGGAATTTAAGCTCCGTGAGGGCGAGGTTTTCATCCGTCTGACAAGCGTCAGCAGCAGAGCAGTAAGAGGTGCCGTGTGCCCCGCGGGTATCAGTAACTACACCTTGGACATGACAGTGCAACACAGCAGCCCTCTGAAGCCAAAAGATCTACTGTGAGTGAGCCCAATGAGCTTAGAAAACTTAAACAATTTATTTATTTATTTATTTTTTATCCTCACCCGAGGACATTTTTCCATTTTTTGTTCAGGTAGAGTGGGAGGGAGAGAGAGGAACAGAGAGAGAGAGAGAGAAACATCGACGTGAAAGGAACACATCGAGTGGCTGCCACCCGCACGACCGACCAGGGCCGGGGACAAACTGCAACCGAGGTACGTGCCCTTAGCGGGAACCAAACCCGGGTCTCTCTGGTCCGCAGGCCGACGCTCTAACCGCTGAGCCAAACCGGCCAGGGCGAAAACTTAAACAATTTAAAATGAATTGGTTGGACAAATGATACAAATCAGACAGAGTGTGGGCAAAAGCCACCGAAATTCAGTTCTTGTAATAGTGGGCGAAGTGGCTGGGCCCAGCTCTCCACAGAGAAGCAGAGCTGGAGTGAACCGGAGAACCCTTCTTGAATCTACTGAAGGACCAGGACCTAGAGAGGCAGGCCTAACAGTAAAAGCTGTTTCTGTCCGGAGGGTATTTGCTGACCGAGAAGAAACAGCTAGGAACTTGACTGCATTGTTGACCTAGTCTAAACGCTGGGGGGACCAGAGTCAAACCCAGGGTCTCCCAAAGGAGCAAACTGTGATAAACCATCCCCACTTTAAGCTGGGACTCCTTAAGCAAAGGCTTATACCTTTGCTATAGTCTGAATGTCTATGTCACCCTAAAATTCATGTTGAAATTCTAACCCTTGAGGTGATGGTATTAGGGGGTGGGGCCTTGGGAGGTGATTGGGTCAGGAAGGCAGATCCCTTACAAATGGGACTAGTACCCTTATAAAACAGACCCCTTCTCCTTCCACCATGTGTGGTTACATTGAAAGGATGCCTTTGAACCAGGAAGCAGGCTCTCCCCAGACACCACTTCTACTGGCAACCTTGACCTTCCCAGCCCCAGACTGTGAGAAGCACATTTCTGTTGTTTCTAAGCCACCCCGTCTGTGATATTGGTTCAGCAGCCTGAATGGTGCTGATTGGGGGGCGGGGCTGGCTGGGGCGGGGCTGGCTGGGGGCGGGCTGGCAGGGCAGGCGGAGCTAAGCCAGCTCTCAGGACAAGGGTGACCTAGAGGAAAGCAGACCTGTAGACTGGATTCTCATCACCTGCAGGGCTCCCAGAACCCCAGGTCTAAAATTGTTCGAAGGTGCTCTCAGACAGCCAGGGCCCCCAAGCCCAGGCAGAAGCAAATAACAACCCTCTCTGAAGGAAGGTACCCTCAGCGTAGGCCTCAATTTACTCTTATATGTAAATTTTCAAACAGACAAATCCAACAGACACCGAAACACAATAGCAGGAGTGGGAACCAGTCAAAACAAATGGCGACAGACGTACAAACCCTGAAATACTGGAACACCAGACAGTCTGTTATGCAGCCATGCCTATTACGTTCAGAGAAATTCAAGACGAACTTGAAGACTTCAACAGAGAGCTACATTTTATTTCAAAAGATTTCAGAAAGAAATGAATAGACGTTCTAGAGCAAACATCCTTGACCAGGTAGCGTATAGCGGGTGTGGAACTGAACTTGGGACAAGTGTCACGACACTGACTTTATCTTCCAATAATGATAAAGGGGAACAGGTGATTTTCAAAACAGGGGTGAGGATTCATGTTACCTGCGTTTCAGCAAGAATAAAAACACTGCCAGCGAGCCACAGACATACAGATTCCAAAATCCTGAGGGGTGGGGGTGGATGGGTAGGGGACAAGCTCTCTAACGAGAGTTTACAAAAAGAGAAAAGAATAGACCCAGCATCAGTTTCACCCTCCTCCTTACCCACAGACATGGAGGTACCTCCTTTACATAGCCTCTGGCAGTCCCCTGCAGGCCTCCCCACTGTAAGAACATGCGAGTGCTCCCAAGCATTTTGGTTTTGTCTCCTGGATGAGGACAAGGACACTCAGTTGTGTCATGAAGGCTCTGTTTGCTTCCCGCGCTGTCAGAGATTCTTCACTCAAGTGGTGCTAGAAATAACCATCATCCCCGCACCAAACAGCTGTGTCACATCCGTCTCCCCTCCCTCCCGCCCTCCTCTAGCTGCTATCTTGAAGCTACCCAGCAGACAAGAGGAAAACAATTAGTCATCCCAGGTTTTGCCCACTTTCCCCACATCCATGCTATTCAAAGCACAATCACGGTAGAGAAGAAGGGCTTTAGAAGCCACGCAGACACCTACAGGTCTGAAGGACTTGAAGACTTTTTCCAAGACTTCCTGGAGCGTCTTCTTGCCGCAGGAAGAGATGTAATCCTGTGCCAGCTGCAGGAAAGGCAGGCAGTCCTCGCTCTCGCTCCACACGTGCTGTCCACCGGCAAGGGGGGGAAAGAGAGGCAGTCATTACCCTCAGTGCAGAATACAGCGGATCTGAAGAAGGCCGCCGTTCCAGAGTAAGAGTCATACGTTCATTCTTGACCTGTTTGCACAGAGGGGTCAGGAAACGTATACCCTACAGAAAGCCCAGTGCTTTGGGCCCATCACCTCGCCTGCTCAATGCACCAGATCTGCTCAGATATTGTCAAAAGGGCAGTGGGGTGCACAGTCCCCTGCCCCTGATTTCCACTGCCTCCCCTTCCAGTCAGGCTAAGGGTGCTTATGAAACAGGAGGGAGGAGAAAGCATGAGCTTACATGATCCTTAAATTTGCCTTCAGCTATGGTTGAAGGATTAATTAAATCTAGTTTGTAACCACTAACTTGGAATAAGACATTCTTTACCCAGATTAGCCTGGGAGCGGGGGTGATGGTAAATGCACTTCAAAATGAAATGAATTTAGGAGGACACACAGAAAAGTCGTCACTAAGTCACTGGGGGGGGGGGGGGCGCAGGGGGCCCTTTTGAAAGCTGACTTTCCCTAAAGTGATTTACGAGGGATCATACCCGAGTATCACTTCACAATGTTAACATACACCAAGAGGAGACTGACTTTAGGTTTTTATTTTTTTCTTAAGGCTAGACGAGTTATTCTTTTCTTTATCCATGTGAGGATATCCATTTTAGCACATCTTTCAGAGTAGGCAAGTCTCTCCCATAAATGTTCAAGGATCTGGAATAAGCCCAAGAAACAGTCTTGAGAGATCTGGCACTGGGCGACCGGGACAACATCAGGGTACCTGCCCGGTATCACAAATCATTGTTCAGAGGGGACCAATTAATGAAAGCTCAACACTGCTTTTAGAGGTTGGGAGAGAGGGAGACATTGGCAGAGGAGAGCAAGAAGCAGGGACTAGGAAGCAGGTGGCGAGAGGGTCCACGTCACGCACACACTTACGCCCTCCCGTTAATACAAATGGTGGGGGCATCACCCCAGAAAGTTATGTGCCCATCACTCCATCAACACATTTCACCGTCTTCCTTCTCATGGCAGCATGTCCAAGAACTAGATCCACAGACTTAAAATCCTGCTCAGATCGGGGAGAGACTAATGAGGTACTAATGTGCCATCTCTCCAGCCAATTATGTGTGTTTCACACACGCAAAGGCCCGTTTCCGACACACGCTGCTCTATTTCATTCCGAAGTAGTTTCCGCCTCGACCTGATACCGACAACTTCTAGACTCTCTAACTTAGAGAACAGCTCGAACACAGTGCCCTACTAGATACCCTTAGAGTGGCTGAGCCACTGACATGCCATTTAATAAATTGTCTCTTACACTGTATGAAAGCAGAGTACAAAGTGCTCTTGCGTCCATGCGGAACTTGATTCTCAATCGGCGGGGACTCAGCAAGAACAATGAAGTCCCACTTTCATGTACGTTCTGCTCAGCACCCATGTTCATATTCCAATTTTAAAAAGTACATTTCAAATTCCTATCCAAGTTCAAGAGGGGATTACCACCTAGCACCACACAATACAACGGAAAGCTTATTTTCCCTGGACTTGAAGATTAGGTACAAAGTAATACGTTTAGTAAGTGCCCGCACCTGCCTGGCTGGCACCCAGTGGCCGTTCAATACAGGGCAGAACTAAGTACCCTGTTCGCCTTTTGAGTCTGCAGGAAAATGGGGGTGGGTGGGGTTGTTGGCCTTTCCACCTGCCACATGGCTAAGGTCACACACTGAGCAAATCAGACACCCAGTGTGACCTCACGGAGAACGTTATTCAAGGCAACTTGGGTTACAGTTCATTCAAAAGTAGGTGTCTCCATAAATGACTTGGATACCTGTTTTTTTTAAAAGTGCATTTGGGTTTTGAATTATAAACTAAGGAAAGCGTATCGCACCAACAATATCAGAATTGTAGCGCACCCACCTCTGCTTGGAAATCAGTTTCTCTCTTTGGTGAAGTGTTATTGGGCATCTCGGACCTCACGAGGAGACTGTTCAGGCTGCACTTTCATTGCTTCGTTTCTGGAGTTGTTGGTTTGTGAGTATATCTTGGAGAAGGAAGACTTAACACCCAATAAAGGATTTTCCATCCAGTCTGCCCTAACTTCCCTCATTTGACTAACTCACCCTGGATTCCCTGTCGGGTTGGTTTTGTGGGTTTAAAAAACAGTTTTTACTGAATCCTTGCCCCTGTGATAATGTGAGAGAGCATGGCGTTTGGAAACAGTCTCAGCTGTTCGTGGCCACTTAAAACACACCACTTATTACATGCTAATTGTTTCATGTGCACGTGCCTCACAACAAAAGCAACTGTTTCCTTCCAAAACTAAGCAAAGATCCACAGAGTACAAGATACGATGAACTAAAAAAATAAGTCTGCAGTTGGGAAAATAAGGACAAAAGGAAAACAACGAAAGGAAAATGAGAGAGAACCCACTGAGACTAGGGCAAACAGTGCAGGGTAAGTGGGCCTGGCCACTTGCTTGAACAGGACGCAGATTTGCCTCCAGAGACCTGTGCCAACACAGAAGGTGATCAGTGCCCACAGGTCAAACAGATCTTCAGATCCAATGGATAAGGGGCTGCGGGGGCAGGGTGGTTACCGCTTAGGAAAAACAGAGGGGCCCATCCCAACACCAGCGGAGGGCAAGAAGGTTGTTGTGTAGAGGGGCTGACGCTGCTGACAGGTTCTGGGTCTACTCTTGTACAGGGACAAAAGGGTGACGGAAGACCTGGAGCCCTGCACCACAGGGCATGGCCACCAGGACTCAGCTAGGAAGCTATCTGAAGCATGCGTAACCAAACACCCACTTTGGCCATGAAAAAACTGTAATAGGGGTCAGAGAACGTGCGGCTTTGAACAATGTACAGTAGTTCCCGGCAAACAGAAATGTAGGTACTGATGTCTTGGCTTTCCGATAGCACTGTGAGAGCCCAGGCAGGTCAGACCTCAGGTGTCCCAACAGGAGACATGCCAAGCACAGGCTCCGTGAAGGACAGGAAAGCAGTGTGACTCCAGCCTTAGGGTGCAGCAGTCACCTGGAGGTTCATTAAACCACAACCACTGGGTCCCCTGGGGACCAGCCAGTGGGGGCAGGGCTGAGAATTTGCATTTCCATCAGGTTCCAGGTGATGCTCAGGCTGCTGGATCTGGGACCACACCTTGAGAGCCAGAAGCACAGCAGAATTTTGATTAACTACAAATGTGGGGGTGGGGTGAGCATTACACGGAAACGTCTGAATGTCATTACTGACTAAAACCAAGTCCAAATCTCGGGACAGCATGAGTTGCGATGAGGGCGTTCCCGAAGCTCCCCTGAGCAGCGGGCTCTCCCCTAAGGACTCCTGCCCCTTAGGAGTTGCCAGTCCTCGGGGAGAACTTGGATTTTTTTTTTTAGAACAGGCCGCCTAGGCCCTTCTTTCTGTTATTAAATTGGGCTGGAGTTCATTATCAAAGCTTGCCCAGCTTCAGAAAACACGTCATCTACAAAGAGGAAAAACAGCACCTTTCTGTTTTCTACAGTGTAGATGGCAGTATCCAGCTTATCCAAAAAGGGTATTAGATCGTCAAGGTCGTTCCATCCTACAAATCCCCTTTTGAGCACCAAGGGCCATTGCCATGGGCCTCGCTCGCACTGTAGTCCCGACTTGAGAGTCTTTTGCCATCATCAGTGCCAAGGGACCGGTTTGAGTCGGTGGTGGCTTTATCCCAAAGGAATGGCTGTCCACAGAAGAGACGGCATAAGATAAAAGCCACAAGCCCACTCAGGCCACTCAACATATTTCTGCACAGGGTGGGAAGAGCTGGCAAACCTATGAGCTGCTCTTTATGTCAGCCACTGATCTGTTTTACTAAGGGGGTTACTGAAGCTCAGAGAGGTTAAGCAACTTGTCTGTGGTCACATGGAGCAAGGGGCAAAGCTAGGACATCGCCAGGGTACACCCTTCAACCTGAGTTTCAGCTCCTTCATTTGCAAGACACAGAAAATACTACTACTCACAGGGTGGTTAAAAACAGTATTGGAGGCACCCTGCAGACTGACTCTCATTAGCAGGGGTCCAGTCAGTGTCTATGCCCATTGATTTGAACTCGCATTAGCACAACTTGACTCTCCCCAGGATTAACCTCCCCCTGAATATCCGAAGGACATCTCTCCTTTCTGAAACAGCCTATGTAAATAACCCACAGCTTTGCAGTCGGCCCCCACCCCCACTTAGTCCTCACCATGATAATGGGATTTACATGACAGATGAGGAAACTGAGGGTAGAGTATGAATTATACAAAAAAGTGCTTTCTCTCCACTATCCCACCATATAAACACAATGCCATCTCATTTCAACAAGTCATATTTTCTCCGAAATCAAAAGGCTGTTACTTGGTCACATAGTTAAGAGACATGCCTAGAAAGAAAATGGAAAAAATTTTTAAAAAAATAGACATAGCTATGAGCACACATGTCAAGGTAAATTAGAGTTTTTCTGGAAATAAAACCTTTCCTTTAATACAAGGACAACTGCGATCTTTGTTTTTGTATTGAGGAGGGTCCAATGACACAGTTTCTGATCCTTTCTCTGCCAACGTGTTTTGATGGGTTGGCAGAGAAAGCAGAACAGGGATCTTTCCTTGGCCCAGTCGTTGGCACCCAGGCCCCAGGGAGGGCAGGGCTGCCACGCCCAGGGTCGGGTGCACACCTTCACACACGCCTCTCTGTCGGGCTGGCACATCGGTGCCTGCCAACCTGCTCCTCAGACCTGGCAGAGCCCTCAGGACATTCTGACTTGGCAATGGGAGTGTGCCACCTGTCTGATTCCTCGGCCCCCTCCCCGTCACATCTGTGGCCAGGCACTCTCAGCGGGCAGGACACTGGCAGCTTCATGTCACCCCAGGCTCTGACCTCAGGAGCCATCCACAGGGAGCAGCAGTGTGAAAAGGGACAGCGTGGACTGGACGGCCTGTGAAGCGAGGAGGGGACAGAGTTCACAAGGGACCCAGGAGCTGCCACAGCGGAGGGAAATAAATGGAAGTCCTTGTTCCTAGGCCCCTGGAGCTACTGGCCTGATTCTGCCTGTGGGACATTCTGCATGGTGGGAAGGACAGGCCTCTGCGCGTAGGCTCAAGTCCTGGCACTGTCACCACTTAGTGGGACAGTCCTCGATGAGTCCCTTAAACCCACTGAGCCTGTTTCCGCTCCTATAACATGGGGATAAGAATACCTACCTCCTAGAATTTTTGAGGCTCAAGAAGTCACCCTTGAACCCGCAGTCAGAACTGGGTCCCCAGCGGTTACTCCTGTGCTATGTTTCCAGCGTAGGGCTATGGTTCAAGTCGCTCTACCACTAACCCTGTGGGAAAGTTAGTAAACCTCACTGTGCTTCTGTTTCCTCATCTGTAAAACAGATCATTGCAGAGCTCCTTGTAGATTACTAAGATTACATGAGCTCATGTAAACTGCGTGCTCAGAGCACTGTGCGGACATGGTGAACTGCCCACACATAGTAGCTGTTGTTATTGCTCCTTTGATGTTGTCGTTTTTGAATTTAATATCTGTTTTCATTACAGATATTAATGAATTCATTCATTCATTCATTCATTCAATCTTACAAACATGGGGGGCTGAGCACCTATCACGAGTCTGACTGTTCCAAGTGCTGGGACACAGTGATGAATAAGACAAGGTCATCCTCTCACGAGTCTCGTGGGGGAGGCAGAAAATAAATGGTAGTGCGTGAAAGAGACTATCAAATACCAATGAATGCTATGATAAGACTGAGGCTGAGGAGAGGAAGTGTGTGTCAGAAGGCTTCTCCCGGCCCCACCGGCTAAAGGAGCTGGCTACGCAAAGACGTGGGGGACGAATGTTCTAGGCCGAAGGAACAGCGAGTACAGAGTCCCCGCCTGGGCTTGGCTGGTCTGAAGACCAGAAAGGCCAGTGTGGCAGGAACATCGCAAGCAGAACGGATGAATGGCCCAAGTGAAATCAGAGAAGCAGTAAGAGACAGATCACGCATGGGCCTGAAGTCAGGGCCAGGGTGTAGGTTTTACTGTAAAAGTGCTGGGAAGTCGGTTCAGGTGAGGTGGGGGTGGTGAGGACATGGCCTGGATTCTATTTTAAACAGATCCTGAGACCCTGCCAGAGGCACCCCCATTTTGGCACTGTTCCAAACATGCCTGCTAGTAAGGTACTAATATTATCATCCCTGTTTTACAAGTGTGGAAATCACGGCATAGAGGGATTAAATAACTTCCCCTAAGGCATAAAGTTGGATGGGGGCGGGCGCTGGGGTGCAAACCCATATATCCTGACCCCAGAACCTGTGTGCTATTAACCACTAACCAGCACTGTCTTAGATAGTAGAATGGCCCCAGGAGCATGAGGGCAGAGACCCTATTTGTATTCCAGGTAGCCCTGGCCTGGTGCAAAATATGCCCTCAATAAATGTTTGTTGAGTGAATGAGTGATGTGAAAACACTTTGTAAATTGAGAAATGCTATGTAAACACTTTCATTAAGAAACCCTTCAGGTTTTAGGAATTCTAATCATCTCAAAGTCCTTTTAATGCTTAACAGATTTCCCTGGGAAGGGAGAAGAGGGCAGCTGGGACATTTACTTGGTGCCCAGGTCCTTTAACTAGCGGCCAGCGGCAGCTTGACAAACCTGGCCTGGCGCACACTGGAGCAGAGGTCTGGGCTAAGGGAAGGCCAGTGGTTGGCAACCTGTCCATTAGGGCCTCTGGAAACGTGGAGAAAGGAATTCCTTTCCTCATTTTCCTTCTTCCTCATCGATTGCATTTAACTGTCAGTGAATGAATATGGTCAAGCATTTTACTCATACAGGTTGGAAAACATTGAAAATATGGGTGGTCTTGAAAAAGGCCTGATATCCGTGATGTTTCTGGATGGCTCCATATGCATATCCAAGGCAAGAGGATGGCCTTGCACTTTCTCCACCCACTTCCTCTCCCTGGACTACTTTCTCCTGGTGTCTCCTTCAGTACCAGCTGGAAGGCTGTGCAGAAATCTCCCCATAAAATCCAGAACCTCCAGAGACTTGCCCTGGGTCAGCAGTAAGGAGGGGAAAGGCCACCGGGATGGGGGGGGGTGGGGGCTAGGGAAGCCCAGGGCTGGGAGGGACTCCTAACATGGCAGGTCACTGGACCCTGGTGCCCCCTGGGGCTTTCTCACACTTTTACAATGGACAGAATCCCCTTGTAATGACCTCCCACCCTTCCCAATAACAAATAACACTTACTCTGACTACAGTTAACAGTGCTCTTAATATATTTATAGCTTACTTGCTTTTCACAAGGGCCTGTGATGGAGGCATCCTGATTCACCTCATTTTACAAGTGAGAACATGGAAGTTCTTTTTTTAAAAAAAGAGACAAGCTCTAAACTCAGGGAACCCTAGATCCAAATTTGTGGGGCCCTTGCTGTGGTTGGAGACTGTTAGGCGCTTTCTCCATCCAATCTCCTCAGCCCTGGCATCATACCCCTTTTTTAAAATTCTTCACCCCAGGATATTTTTCTATCATTAGATAGAGTGGGAGGGAGGGAAAGAGAGGGAGAAACATGATGTGATAGAGCCACATCGACTGGTTGCCTCCCACACGAACGGACCAGGGCCGGGGACACACGGAAACCGAGGTACTAGACCTTGACCTGAATCTACCCCCTGACTCACTGGTCTCAGGGGCTGATGCTAACCGCTGAGCCAAACCGGCCAGTGCTATACCCATTTTTTAATGTGTAAACTGAGCTGGGTGACAGCAACAGACCCGCGTCACAGGGCCAGAACTCAAATCTGGCTGTCACCCAAGGACATTCCTCTTCCAGAGTGTCGGGGGCTGGGCCCAGGTGGGTGCTTCCCCTCTGCAGGGTGGGGTACGGTGGTGGGAGGGGCGTGCTCTATTGCAAGGACCCTCTCTGTGGGACCAGGAAAGGTGGTCTTGCTGTCTCTGTAACTCCTTCAAGAACTTCCCATCGGTGGGTAGGAGTGTGGCGTGGACCTCAGCGCAGCTTTGTCTCACCCCACCTGAGGAGCCGGAGCCAGGGCCATGCAGCGTCTGGGCGCCGCCCCACCTCCGTCCACAGCGGCGACAGCAGCGCCAGCTCCAGGCTCAGGCCGGTGACCACACGGTAATCCGAGCCCACAGTCGCCTCCATCTTACATTTGGGGACTATTATCCCCCCGCCCCGTCCTTATAAACACTTCATGGAGCCCCATGCTCGCCCAATCTTCACACCTCCACTCCCCTACCCTCCTCACCCCCTTCCTAAGCTGCCAGCGCCAAGATCCCAAGTGGGCGCAGGATGCAAAGTCAAAGATTTGGACACAGCAGTTCCAGGTCCCGGACCCTCCGAACCCCGAGGCTGGAGTGGAGATGGGGAATTCCCTCTCCTCTGGAGAAACCAAAGGGCGTTGGGGGACCGAGACCGCCGCCTCAGCCGGACAGAACCCACTCAGAACCTCATCGAGGAGCAATGGAAGCACAGGGGATAGGCGTGCCCGTGTGTGTGTGTGTGCGCGCGCGCGTGCGCAAGCGCGCGTGCGTTTTTAAGATCCAGGGTGTAATTCCGCAAAGAAGGTCCAGGAGATGGGGCATCGCTAGTGTGGACAGAGGCTTTGTGTCCAAACACGCAGAGCTGGGAATAACCTGGGGAGCGGGTGTGGTTCCCCAGGAGGGGACAACTGGAGGACTTGTGTCTGCGCATCGGGAGGGGAACGGGATTCTTCACCCGGACTGGAAAGCTCCGGACTCTGGGTTTTGCGGGAGGGTTCGTAAGCCTCGAGCCGGGCTGGTGCGACGCGGGACACCATGGAGATGCTCCATGCCAAGCACCGCGCACGGGGCCTCGGGGTCGCGTCCCCGAAACAGCCCACCCCAGCCCGGCTTCCCGGATCCTAAGGGCGCTCCTGCCCGCCGCCCACCGGCCCCACCCGGAGCTCTGACACCGCCGCGCCGGCCCGGGGGCTTCCCCTGCGGAGCGCACAGCACCGGGGTGCGCGGCAGCGACCGGTTACGCCCCCCCAGCCTCGCGCCCCACAGCCTCCCAAGCGTGCGGGAGCTCGGGCGCAGGGCAGCGGCCGCGCAGCCACACTCCCTGGCGCTGCTGCGGTCCCTCCCACAAGCACTCACAAAATTGTCCCCGCATCCGTTGTCCGGACACAGCACGTAGAAGGAGACGCCGGGGTCGGCGTAGAAATCCATCCTGCGCTCGGTCTCCTCGGTGGCGATGAGCTCGAAGGGCGTGTTGGAGCACCATTTCTCCGCAACGTCAGCCAGCTGCTGGAAATCCATCCTGGCCCGCCGCGCCCGCCGCGCCCTCAGCCTCCTCTCCGCCGCCTGCCTCCTGCTCGCTCCACCGCCCGCCCTCCTCTCCTCTGGCGCCCTCCTCCGCGGGCTCTCGGGCAGGCGGCGGGGCCGGGCAGCGCGGGCTCCCTCCGGTCCCCGGGCTCCTCCCGGCGGGCTCTGTTTACATGCTGTGTGTAACCGGGTGGGCGGTGGCCAGGGACCGCGCTGCGCCGCGCCCGGCTCCTCCCCGCCCCGCCTCTGCCCCCGCCCCCTTTCGGGCGGCCCCGGAGGCTGGCGCGGACGGGCCGGGCCCGGGCTGCGGCGGGGCGGGGTGGGGCGGGAGGGGCCAGGAGCCCCGCGGGCTCCCCAATACTCCACCCCCGCCCCTTTTAAAAGAAAGGAACCGGGAGCATCCCGGGGCCCTCGCGAGGCCGGGGCCAACCCAGACCCGTGGCGTCATGGACCCCAGCCAATCACCGGAGTCTGAGACCTGCGCCCTGGCCTGCGAGCCAGGTGACGTCACAGCGTGGCCCGACACCGGCCGCTTTGCTGGTTACAGAGAAGCAGAGAAAGCTGGTAGTCCCTGCTAGCCTCTATCTGGAGTAAGAAGGCCAGAAAAGCGTTTTCCCGAATACGATTTAAATGCAGGGGACACCCACAGAATTGTAGATAACTTGTCCCTTGTCTGAGGCTAGCAGTGGAGGAGCTGAGAAAATCTAAGGGGAAACGGAGATTTTAAGAATCAAATCTCTGTCCTCCAATGGATGTAAAGAAATGTTTCCCCTAAATACCTAGATAGTGATATGAATGTCCATTTGGAAAGGACGATGCCCTCCACCCTACCCCACCCCCCACCCCCGCCCCGGCCAACAGAAAGCTATTTCTTAGAAATAAGCCTCAGATTGTCTTAACTATTATTCAGCTTCACTTCATATTGCAACCTAAAATGATCAGCTGCTAGTGTGGAGAGAAGAAAGTAGATTTTAAAGCAAGAGTACATGCCCAACAACTGCACCTGTTGAATGCTCCCTGGCTGCTCAGACTCGACAGGCATTGCTGGATTGCAGAAAATGCTTTGCATAGAGCCCTCGCCGCAGGAATTGAATGAGTACCAGCAGCGACATGTTAAATAACACCCATTCTACAAACATTCAATCAGCTTTTATCTTTAAACTTTGTCTTCTGACCAGGCACCGTACTAACCCTAGGAATATAAATATAAATATAATTATAATTATAATTATAAATAATATGTGGTTCCACCCTCAGAGCACTGCCAGATTAGCCAAGGGAAGCTCATGACACCATGAATTCATTTGAACTGCCCTTTACTCAGTAGTATAGATGTGATTCTGGAAAGTTTTCTCTTGTACATTTCTGGAATAGGAATTATTTTCTCCTTGACTTACCTTAATAAATCAAAGCTGCCGTCCTACAGTGAAAGTGGAAACAGCACTTAATCTTTTGGTAAAGTCAGAGGGCAGGATGGTGATCCGCCCAAAGACATTGTGGGCATTACATTTTTTCCTGAGAGTAGTCCTTACCTGAAAGTTAATGCCCCCATGTAACAATTTCCTGACTTCATAATTCCCCGATTCCTTTAAAACAACTCAGTTCAGTGAATATTTATGGCACATCTATTGGATACCAGAAAGATACACAAAGCCATGGTTTTGTTTTTGGTTTTTGGCCATGAAATAACTTACAGACTGTAAACTACGCAGGATTCTAAGACCCCACCAAGATCCCTGCCCTCCTGTTGTACACACCCTCCCGATTATTCAATCAAACACTAATGTAGATACTGCTTTGAGGATTTTGCCCACGTAATTAAGATCTCAGATCAATTGACCTTAAGATAGGGAGATTGTCCTTTGTGGGCCTGACCCTGTAAGGTGAAATCTTAAAAGGAATTGGGCTCTTCCTGGAGAGAGGTTCAAAGCATGAAGTAAATTTATCATCAGAGAGATTCTCCACTAATGGCTTTGGAGATGGAGGGGACCATGGCAGGGACCAGAGATCTGAGTCTAGGAGCTGAGGGCAACAGCCAGCAAGGAAATAAGACTTCAGTCTTACGCAGCTGCAAGGAGCTGACTTCTGCCAAAGATCTGAATGAGCTTGAAAGTGGATTTTCCACAGAGCCTCCAGAAGAGAACTCAGTCTGATTGATACCATGACTCAGCTTTGGGAGACCCTGAGCAGAAAACTCATTTATGTCGTGGCTGTGCGGTCCTCACTGCATTTAGAGAAATGCTTCTCTTCCTGTACAGGAATCTAGACTTCGCTTTCTCTGAACCATAGTTTGTCTTTGGAGATGTGTGTTGATTAAGAAAGAAGAACTACTGAAACCCTACACTGGCTGGGAGGTCTCAGGAGCCCAATTTGTAGATGCAAAACCCACCCTAGATTCTCCTGCTCAGGTTGACTCTTCCACTGACCACGTTCCCAAATCCACTGTGGCTTTTATTCTAGTGTGACTTTAACAGATGATTGTACCTTTTATTTACTTCCATACTATAAGTCCTTTTAATTAGGCCTGCCCTCTACGTTTCTGCTATGTGGTATGAGGAATCAGGCAGAAAGGGGTGTGGCGGCTGGTCTATATTTACCCTCCCAGCCCAAGTAGTTGCATTGTATTAAGAGGGACTGCGGACCCCAAGTTCTAGGAGGTGGTGGGCAGTAGAGAAAGGTGTGATTTGTCACGGTGGTGATGGGAGAGGTGAAAGGACCCCAGGATCTGGAGAAGCAACATCCATGAAAGAGGGTGACATAGCAGGGGTGAGAGCTCCCCCTGCTCCTCCCCCCTTCCCAAGACACTCAAGACAGGTGACACTGGGGGGGGGGAGGGGGTAAATAGAAGGTAGGTGTCTGAATTGAGCTTATGTCAAAGCTTATTTCATTGCAACTTGAGTTTGAAAAAAAATTAAATCGAAAAATTGGCAAAAGTTAAAAATCTACATATACAAGTCGCTGTGACCCCAGTACCCATAAAGCTCAGGAGGAGGGTTTATTGCAGCATCCTTGCCCTCTGGCCAGAAAAATTCACTCTGCATTTTGTTTCTGCCTCTGTCAATCTTTTACAAAATAATTTATTTTTTGTTATCCCTCTCAAAGGTTTGCACCTAGAATTTCAGGAAGCTCTGGGTTACATTATTTGGCTACATTTGCCTCCAAAACATGTCCATCTGGTAAACATTTTCCTTTTATATATGCCAAAGAAACAGAAATAAGTCTATTTGATTTTTTTATTCATGTAAATGCTCCAATATTCTATGTTGTTCAGTATTTCCTTTCCTGCTGTTACTTTCAGTTAAGATAGCTCCTGAACGTGATCCCTACTCCTAAACTTATTGCACACACAAAACTTCCTTTTCCGCAACATCTCACTGGTGCTGAGAAACCCTTGTTTTGGGTATCTTTCTCTTCCCCTTTGTGATAATGAGCATAGCTCTGCCTCTCTTGTCTGCTGAGGCTCATTAAGACCCAGCTATTAGCTCATCGTCCGGAGAGGTTTCCCAAGAGCACTGCTGCAGGACTCCAGAGAGGCTGTGCATTTCCTCTGGGAACAGGCAGGATCCAGGAAGTGGCTAAACCAGAAGCTGCTGGTGTTATATTGGCGGGCTGATGGCTCATGCTACGTCCATTTAATATAAAGATCCAACGATCTGGATGACAGCCTGCGTGCTTGCCCCCAAGGAGAGCACGCGTGTCCTCAGCCACACACTGGGTAGGCAGTTGATCGAAAGAGAGCAGCGAAGACTTGTGACACGTGGACTGGGTGGTCACATTATGGCTTTGCTGCTTATTAACTGCATGATCTTGGGAAGGTTCCCTAACCCCTGTGAGCCCTAATGTCCTCATCTGCAAAACGGAACGAAGGTACATATGTTGTGAACATGCAAGACTCTGAGAAAATAAATGTATCAGCGTGTGTACGTAGAAGGGGAAGCTGGTGCAAAGAATCAACATGGAGCTTTAAACGATGTGAAACATTTGAGTACATATCCAAGGTTTTTGTAATATTGGTCCTTGGCCTGTAATATGGATAGAGATATTAATGAATTTTAGATATTGTTAAATAAAGTATGCATGTTAAAAAATGTAAGGTGTATCAGTGAGAAATTGCATCCAGCTAATAATAAAGTCTTGACTAAAGGGGCTTGCACAAGATAGTTTACCTTTGTTTCACATGAATAAAACCGGGAGGCAGGCAGTTCAGGGCAGGTCTGGCCCCTCACCCCTTGGTCACGAGGGCTCAGGCTCTTCTTCCTGCCCTGCCGTCCTTTGCGTGTGGCCTCCATCCTCAAAGCTGCCTCGTGGTCCCAGGCGGCCTCTGCAGTTCCAGCTGCCACGTCCACATTCCATCAGGACCAAGGAGGGAAGGAGGAAGGAACAACACGGGACTGCTGTCATTAGTCCTCTTTTTTTTTTTTTTTTTTTATCCTCACCTGAGGATATTTTTCCAAATTTTGTACAGATAGAGTGGGAGGGAGAGAGAGGAAGGGAGAGAGAGAGAGAAACATCGACGTGAAGGGACACATCGAGTGGCTGCCACCCGCACGACCAACCAGGGCCGGGGACAAACTGCAACCGAAGTACGTGCCCTTAGCGGGAACCGAACCCGGGTCTCTCCTGACCGCAGGCCGACGCTCTAACCGCTGAGCCAAACCGGCCAGGGCCATTAGTCCTCTTTTAATGAGCCTTCTCTGAAGTCCCAACCAACAACTTCTTACCATGCTTGCTGCCCTCCGGTGAGGAAGACTCGGACACGTGGCTTCCCAGTAAGGCGTGTTTCCCGAGTTTCCCCGAGTTTCCCCGAGTTTCCCCGCTAAGGAAGGGAGAACGGCTGCTGTGGCGGCATCTGGGCTCTGCCACAGGATAACTACGTGTTAGAACAGGGACAAGAAACTTCCCAACGAGGAGTAAGAAAAACGGAGAACAAAGGCAGCTCCATCTATCCAATAGATAACAGGAAAGGAATAAAAAGCAAACAAGAGAAATCACTATAAAGGAAGTACACAAAATAAGAGAGAGGAAATAA